CTTTGCTTAGCATAGTATGCTGATGCCACAGAGTTGCATCCCTGATGATAAACTGGAACAAGTCTCTAAGGCACCAAAATAGCCCCAGCTTCTGTGCTGCTCCTCCTCTTCTCGCAACAGAGGAAGAATTGGCACTTGATTCTCACTCACCCCATACTGATTTCCTCCTCCAACACCTCTCAGTTCTCTGAGGTCTTTAGACTGTTTTCCACTGACAGACAGACATGCATGACAAAAAACTCAGTTGCAGCTTCCCCCCGCTGAGAGAACCCTCAGCCGTGGCTCCAAGACCCAGCCATACCCTTCAGCTCCTTCCCCTTCCAGACACATCTCCAGAACGTTACCAGAAGAGGCCAACAGTGGTTTTTAACCAGCTTTGATGAGGTTTTGGATTTTGTCACCTCTGCAAAGGAGAATTTCTCTATCCCAGCACAGACAGCTTACCCTGAGTAAGCCAAACTGCAGCTGTGATGGATGGGTTGGCACATAAGGCCTCCAGCTGAGGACAAAAATATCACCTGGGGGGCAAGGACCTCTTTGAGCAACAACCTGAGGCCCATCCAACCTCATCACTCAGAACCCAGGAGAAGGTATGGAGGTGGCCTGTGTTTGGCCCAGTCTTTAAACAAAATCTAGAGCATATCTGTTTGCCCCTAGGGTCAAAACCTCATTACTGAGTTACACCACCACACTGGAAAAGAAATTTTCTGCCTTTTTATTGAAAATCCCACTTTCACAGCCTGCAACCTTCAACACATGGACCACCTTGACACCGTGGATCCATTCAGGGCTGTCAGGCATTCAGAAGCTGTTAGCATGTAGATTTTGGTGATAATTTGGTGAATGGAGTTGTCAAACAAATTGCCTTTATTATGGACTGATTAAATGCAATCGGAGTAAAGTGCCTTTCCCCTCCCAACCCCAGTCCTCATCACCTCAAACAAACACATTGAGCCAATTAGCAGGGAGGTGGCAAAAGCAGCTTTCACTTGAAACCTGATATTCTTGGGGAAAAGAAAAAAAAAAAAAACACACCACCAAAAAAAAAAAAAAAAAAACCAAAAAAAACCCCAACAACAAAAAAACCCAACTCTTTGCACTTTCAAAGCCAAGTAGAGCCTCCAGGGAGAGATCCTGAAAGCTACCCAGGGCTCACCTGCAGGGTGTGGATGGGAGTTATCGGTATTCATCTGGCTCGATGCCAGATCAGCTCCCTTAAGCACCGTGCTGCTCACATCCAGCTTGTGCCAAATATAATGCAAAGAATGTAAATATTAAAGCCGGCCTAAGGGGAGCAGCACTACCAGGACTGCTTTTCCTTCAGTCTGGGTTCTCCTGTTTCAAAACAGGCATGAGCTCCCAGCCAAGCTATTTCCATGCCTAGAAACCTACGTTTTTGGCTTAGGTCCTTGCAGTGGATTCTCTGGTGTCTGCAAATGCCTGAGTTCACAGCATTTTTTGCAGTAGTGAATGGACCTGTCTCCATTAACAAGAAACTCCTGCAGCCACATAGAACTGATGCCACTACTCTTCTGTGTCTGAAGTTATGGGGCATTTGATGAAGGGGAAATTTATTGAGGAGAATTGGAGCACGACATCATAATCACATAATCCTAATTCCTTGCAGGTATGCAGCTGGAAGTTAAATGGTCACCTTGGCTGACAGCAGGCAGAGCAGAATTCAGCATGTGTTGGCATGATTGATCTTCAGAGACAGGAACGTCGTGGCTGGAGCAGAGAGAGCACACAGGATATGAGCAATAGCTGTTGACTAAGCTGTTGGTTAAACTTCCAACACCTGCATTTAAAGTTAGCACCAAAGCCTAATTTTGGCCCCGTTAGTCCCTCTAAGTAGCAAGGCCTGTGCACTGCACATGGATCAGTGATTCTCAGAGCCTGTGCAGAAGAGCTGTGGCACAGCTTCCCATGGCAAGGCAAGGACTTCGTTTTAGCCCCTTTTTATTTGTGGTGGGAGTTCCAAGACAAAGCACAGGCAAAGTTTTATTAACCAGCAGGGATTGTGCAGAGTTCATTGCTGGGACTGAGATTAGGACTAGAGGCTTACAGCACAGAGATTCAAAACATCAGGCTTTTACACCATACCTCATCATAGTCCTCAAGTGTCACCTTGAACATAAGGTAAGGGACACATCAAGACACTGGGTTCTAAGCCTTCAAACAGTCCTGAGCACAAGAACTGATCACAGAATGAGATCAGACCAAGAGCCCATTCTACAAGCAGCCACAGAGAAAAAGTCCAGGCCTTCTTAAAAAGTGGCTGCAAAGTGCCTGATAACTTCACTCTCTCCCTCAGGACCTGCTTCCTACCCCCACACTCCACTGCAAACATCAATGTTTAAAGAACTATTAAAGAAAACAACTTCAAAACTCTTCACATAGTTCAAATACTTCACTTAAAAGGGATTTGAATTCTTACATCTCAGATTGCACCAGTCCCCAGCAGGACACGCACTCATCATGTTCACGTTGTGGCAGTTTGAGCTGTTCAAACAGGAGGGATGGAGCCACAGTGAGAGACCACGTGGTCAGGCAATGGAGATCCCCACCAGCCCTGCCTGTGCTTTCCTGTGGCAGACTCAGTTCATCACATCACAGGCTCATCACAAGGCACCTCTCGGGGTGCCTTGCCATGATCTGCTGCAGAAGCTTCTGTGGCATCACAGCAAGCCTTGCATTCCTCAGCAGCAATAACCAATACAAATCCATTCATCTCCTTGAGATGCAGACAATTCATGTTTTGGATGCAGCACCTCTAGGTGTGATGGCATATGGTAAAGGTATACAGCTTCCCCAAAGACATTCACCTGCTCAATTCCAGCCATGACAGAGAAGAACACAGAATATCCCAAAGTATGGAAAAGGTATATAAGAGGTTAGAAACAATTACAATCCCCCCCTCCCTCCATTCCTCGTACCAGCTGACAATTCATATGTAGGGGTAACAGTGACAAACAAGGTGCTCCATCAGGTAGGGAGATTTATCTGGGCCACTACTCCTTCAGAGAGACGTGGTCCATGCCCTTGTGCACTGGAGGGAGATAAATGGAGTGTTTGGAAAATGTATTAGGGAAGCATAAGGTGTGATTTTGGAAATGCTGTACCTTTTCCTGCCCCCATTTATCTTGTGGCCACCCAGCTCCTAAACTTACAAAACTATATTCGAGCTGCTACACAGCGGGCACAGCCCTTTCCTGCAGCAAGCCGTGTTTCCTGTCCTGCAAAGTACAGTCAGTCCAACAAGACTGGGGACATTTGCCAAGCCTTCTATCAGCAAACATCGCTTGGACCTGGCAGAAGGTTTCAACAGTTGTAGAAACTCATGGGAGGTTGTTCTGTTGGGATTACAGACCCTGCTTCAGAGCACAGCCACACCACACACATGCATGGGGATTTAAGCCACCCCTCTTGTCCCATAGTGTGACAGTACAGTTGGATGTTGCAAAAAACATTATTTTGGTATCTGTAACCTTCTTATCCATTTTTTAAAAGGACAGTGTCTTCTCCTGTGGACAGCACCACCAAAGGCTATTGAATTTCCTTCCATTGCTCTGGCTATGTTGTACAAACAGTGTGAAGTACCATTGCCCTGGGACACCTGTACATGTTTTAATGTTTAGTAATTTGGCCTGACTGGGGAAACTTTATCTGTATTTCAGAAGGAAGAGTCCATTCCCCATTGCAACTTTAGCTCCTGTCATTCCCACTCCATGAACCCCTTCTGCATCAACTTTTTTGCAAGGAGGAGCATAGAGAAAGCTCAGTGCCAAGAAAAGGATAAAAACACACCAGAAATAGGGAAATGTCTCAGTTCTTTCTGTTCAGAGGTAGATCTGCCCTGAATGGGAGCCCCCAGGACTGATCTGCCCCCAAAGGAGACTGAATCACAGGCAAGCCAGCCCCCTTCAATTCACTTTAAGACTTCAAGCTACTGTATATATTCTCCCCCCACTCCAGCACAAGCTTCTTCTTTCTAACACAAATCTCTCACAGACACATGTGCTCCCAGGCAGTGAGCAGCAGTGCTGTGGTATGTTGAAACCCAAGTCCAGTGAGATTCAGCCCTTGCAAATGACACTTTTTCATCAGCAAATTATAACTGGCAGCTCTTATCTGCTTCAAGAGTTTTGCAACACTCCCCTAAAGAATATGCCAGACTAGTTCTTCACACTAAGACCCAAAATTAGAACCAATATCCTAAAAGCAAAGTGACCCTCACTAGGAATTCCCAAGCAAACTAATCAACATTACAGTTTTAAAATGAGCTCTGTTATATTTTCTCAGATCCACATGCACATCCACAAAGAACAGAAGCAGAAATGTAATTTTAAAGCGACTGATGCAGCTGTAGAGTTATAAAAGTTATACGGGAATCCAGAATTACAAGGTGCTGGGTATTTACCTGCTGTGCACAAATCAAAATAAAATTCTAGACCCAGAAATGATGAAGAAAGGAGATACTTTTTCTCCTGTCTTAAGAAAACACAGAGTATATAATTCATACTGTGCATGTAACACCTCCTTTATCTCAGCTCAGGGGGCTTTTGCAACAATCAGGAGCTGTATGTTAAGAGAAGGGAATCTGGCCCATTACAAAATAATTGGGACTTGCTGTGCTAGTTTTAATTTACGTCCTAGACCGTCATAGTCTCCTAATCCAGCTCTTTTCACTCCACTGAGAAAAACAGCACAAAATCTGCTACAAACTTACACAAGTAAGAGTATTCCTTTCCTTGTTCCCAAAGTTACTCAGACTAACTCTGCTGAAACACTTTTGCTAATTATTGAGAAATGCTTCAAAGAAACTCAAAATCCTCTTACGGAAGACACTTTTCATCCACTTATTTTCAAAAGGTTAAAATTACTCCCCAATCATAATTATCCCAGATCTGCTCACATCCCCTTTCCCTGAGCTGCTCCTGAGCGCTGGAATAAGCTCCCATCCACGAGCAGCACATGAAAGGATCGGCGCTTCTCCCTACCTGAGAAGTCTGCAGAAGTCTTAGCAAAGTTGCTGAAAGCTGTCAAGCACATGAGTCCCAGGAGGAAGGTAGAGGTGGGAAACACGTCTGGGCAGCACATCCTTAAGTATCCTCACGGCTTGTCCTCTTCCAGAGAAAAGGAAAGCGGTTTCTGCCCCAAGCCGGCACTCCTCATTGCCCGGAGAGCAGTGTTAGTCCCATTACTTGGAAGGCTCGCAGCCAGCGGCGGGGAAGGAAAAGCGCTCGGCACGCACACACACTCACACACACACATCCCTGGGAGTGAATGAATCCCGGCTGACGAATGAGACAGACCTACCTGAGCCTTGGCGGAGTTCCCAGGGTCCTAAAAGCCACCTCTTCGCCCAAATGTGCTGCAGACCGTTCCTGTGCAGCTGTCCGGCGGCGGCACTGGGAGCTGCTGGGGGGGCAGTCGGGGAGGGGGTTGCCCGGGGGGGGCTGGTTTGGAGAAACCCGGTTGTGTTATTAGATTAGATATCCAGGGATCTTCTCTATGTTGTAGACAGACAGAAAGATGGGCAGAGTTTTCAAAGCAGGGAGCCCAAAACAAAGCACCTGAATTCACACGGGTTTTTGGCATGACGGGAATTTGGAGCTGCCGCTGAAATCAGTGTGAGCAGTGGTGCCCTGCCAGGCTGGTGACAGGACAATTGTTGTGTGTCTCCTGTTGAGACTGATCATACAATAGAAGAGATTTTGCACAGGCCCAGGGATCAAATCCTCCTGGATCTAGTTGCAGGACTGGGTATCAGCCACATATCCAAAAATCCTCCTTTCTTTTGACAGCAGACAGCCATGCCAGGCGCCTTTTATCCCACTGGACCCCTTTGTGCTCCATCAAAATCAACACAGGGTTTTCACACAGATCCAAACCTGTGGTTTTCCTAGAATCATAGAATGGTTTGGGTTGGAAAGGACCTTAAAGATCATCTTGTTCCAAGCCCCCTGCCATGGGCCATTCCAGGGACACCTCCCATTAGACCAGGTTTCTTCAAGCCCCATCCAGCCTGGTCTTGGGACCCAGAAGACCTGTCTCCTTCCATGGCAATTACTTTAACCCCCAACTAGCACAGCCTTAGATGCTCATTCAAGTACTACTCAACCTGCAGCACTAAAGGAAGGCTCCAGCTCACCTGGAAGCACATCCAGTATTTGATCCTGCCTGATTTCCATCCGTCTCTTGGCAGCATCAAGCCAGCCATGATAACTTGGAAGAGCTGAGCTCTGAGGACACCGATAGATGTGTGGACTCTGTTCTCTCTGGGCACAGGAAGGAGATCCTTGGCTTTGGTTTCCAGCATAAGCTGCAGCTCAGGCATAGGTTTGTATATAAATAATGGGCACATCCAACATATCCAGGTGAGAGCAGAAGCTGAGCATCAGTGCAGAGAGCAAGGGGCAGTTTAAAGAGGCAAAGCCAACAGCAGACATTTAGCAGCCTGTGTACACATATATCCAGACCTACAAAGCAGGTCTGTGTGGGGCTGCCAAGGAAGGGCAGATGGAGCCAGGCACACACACAGCTGCTGAACAAAGCTGCAGCTTCTATCCAGCAAAAATAACCTCAGTGGAAACATCAGAGGAAAACCACAACTGGTTTTTACTCCTCTGTCCTGTTCATCCACATGGAATTAAGTGAAACTTTCCAAAAACATTGACCCTAGGGCAGAAAACAAGTGTAAGAAACTTCAGTCCAAAATGCTCTGGGTTTTTTTCAGAGCTGAGTGCACTTGTAAAGAGTTTCTTATGCTGAAGTTTCTAACAATGTTTCAGCTGATCTCAGATGAAAAATCAGAGTGGCTGCCTGATTATATGTTAAAGACATTTTCAAGAGTGCTGCCATGAACACAAGAGAAATTTTTTCCACCAGAAATCTGCCCTGGGATGGTCTGTGTGTTAGATGCCAACCCCACAGGGGAGCTGTAAGTCCTGTGGCCTTGTTTGCTTTCTACCCATACAGCCACTTGCTCAAATTCTAATCAGCCACACTGAGGACGAGGATAGTATCGTAAATCTGGAGTTTGAGCTCAAATTCTGCCTGTGACCACAGGAACAGGAGGCAGGTCTGGCCTGAATTGCCCCTAAGCAACCCTCTTTCCATCAACAGCTATTCACACACTGAGGGTCTACAGTGAAGGTGCAGATGAGTCTCCTCGAGGACAGTGGTGGCTCTGGGCTGACCTGACAGCACAGACACACCAATCCAGCAGGCTCTGTACAATCCAGCCCCTTTTGCTCTGCAGACAGTTCTGCCACCTTACCTTTTTGCAGAGGGCTGCTTAAGCAAGAAAAAACCACAGGAACTTCTACAGGCTACCTTCTTTATTTCACCTGATACTTGAATCCCACATGCTGGACCTCCCTGATCCATATTTTTCCAGGGGTGACCTAAGTTTTAAAGAGAAAATACCAAGACATTTGATTCCAAGCATCTATGTATAATTCGTGTCTCACCTTCTTCTGCTGTCCTTGCCCAGAGGAAGATTCACCACTGTTGTCTTATAAGCATGAGATAACCATACCCATTCATTACCAGATTATCAGTCAAAGCTCCTTATCAGCAGGACAAAGAAACAATAGGACCCCTGGAAATTTATCAGCCTCTGGAGAAGAGAAGCACTATTTGCTGAAAAGAGCCCACCCTGTTAGCAGGTGTTGATTTTACTGATTAAAGGGTAATTAGGTTTGGCTGACTCAGTATATGGGGAAGGAAAAAAACTCTGGTGACAAAGGGTTTAAGGTTGAACATGGGCAGTTTGCTAAAGTGGCCCTTTAGGTTATCGTTAATAAAGTCAAACCAGAGGGGAGAAAGTTTACAGCAGTGTCCTGTCCTGTGAGGGCTTTGTTTTTGAGCAAGTTTGTAAAGATACCTTCTTCCAGAAGAAAGAAAAAAGCAGCTCTTGCAAAAAAGAAAAAGAAAAATAGATATATTGGCCTTTGAGAAACAGACAATTCAGTTAAAGCCCATCTCCATAATGCCCTTATTCCCTAGGGCATGTGGGAACATCAGCTGTGTGTTTCAAACGGAAAGAGGCCACCTGTCCCCACTGCAGCACAAAGGATGGTCACTCTGTCAGGGACAGTCTCATGGGGTAAACATGAATCAAGGGGACACCAATATGGAGCTTTATTTTTAGGAGTAACTGCCCTAGAAATCCACTCATGCTTTCAAATATGTCTCTGGGGATGGGTAATAATGCATATAAAGGATCTCTTGGATCCCTTGTTCTTGAGGCCACCCAGAAGTGGGAATAGGCCAGCACTGATACAGTTCAGCATCACATCTTAGCTTGGAGGAATGATTACTTTCCCTCCACAGACTGGCTGTGGAGGAGCCTCTGTAATAAGTCTAGGATGCTTAACAACTGTATCTCGGTCCTCTTTTTGACTATGATACATAAGTGCATTTGTCTTTCTCCTCCCATACTCCTCTCTTGTAGATCCTCTCCTTCTCCTGCTACAGACAAAACTGTAATATCTGAAACATGCAAGCAAATTCCCAAGGCACTTTAAAAGCAGCTAAGTTCAGCTACAACTGGGGAAACCAAGGCACTGAGAAGTGAGGCAACTAGTCATTCAACTTTGTCACCCCAATCACAGAGTTTATAAATGGCAATCAGGAATGGACCCAGTCTGGATGATTCCCAGTTTAAGCCATATGTGCTGATCTTCTAGGGCCGATTTTTGGTAATGCTTTCCCATTTTTCACTAACCCTGCACCATTAACCTCTTCCTTGTGGACTAAACCACCAACAGCCTGAAGAAAGGCTGGTCAGTAGGAAAGCTGGACCAGGAATAGCTTTCAGCTAGAGAATCATATGTAGGATTGAAGCTCTCTTTGTTTACACAGCCACAAGCAGGTTTATTAGTACAAATTTGCTAGGACTAGGCTCACTTTCTAACCCTAGTAACATTACTCACTTCTTACTGTGTTTTCCACAAAGTCTCAGAAAAAAGCACTCTCCAAAAGATCACTGTTGCATTCTGCCACTTCACACATGGGCAAAGCATAGTCACGTTTGAGGTCACTACTTTTTCAATGTCAGCCAGAGAAAACTGTCAGAGATAAGAAAATATTAAACACTTTTTATCTTTAAGTCCAGCTAGAGCTCTTTCCACTTGGCCACATTACCTCCTTCTAAAAGAATATAAATTAATGACAAACTATATGTGCATTTATGCCTACAGAAATATATCTGAACTGGGTGGTCAGAGCTTCAATGTGAAACAGCAAAGCTTCCCTGCAGAGGACAGCTTTTTGTTCTCCTTTTTTTAAATCTTTCCCCTAAGAGTGTCTTATGGAAACAGATGGGGTTACTCATATAAGTAAGAGTTGTTTGCTTTCAATTTGAAGACAGAGGACTTCACATAATGCAGTTTTGCAATACAACACCAAGTACTCACAAGTAAAATCCTCCTCTCTCTGCATATTCAATGTTAAACAACAGCTGTGCAGAATATTCAAACCGAAAGGCCTTTGAAGTTTTCACGTTTTGTGTCACTCAATCACTTCAGTTTGCAAAACAAATATAAAACCTGTGGGACTCTGCTCCATACTGGGACAGGTTTGGAGCAGGAGTGTTGCTTTAACAGAGTTCCATGTAGAACAAAAGTCCCAAGTGATGTACTTATCTCACTAAAACACTGGAAAACATGAACAGAGTGGTGCAAAATTCTCCAATGCATGGAAATGTCAAAAATAAAATATTTGGAGACTACAAAGTAATCTACAACAAAGCTCAAAACTTTCTCCTCATGTCTGCACCAAAAATTGATGTTAAAATTTCTCTCAGCTGAAATTCTCTTTAGTATAATGGTTCCATATTCTGTGTTAGAGAATACTGCACAATCTGATGATTTATCTAGGACCAACATATCTGATTGGGTTTAGTTGGTGACCTGTGCACAGGAGTCCTGCATGAAGGACAACAAAAAAGTACTTCAGCATCCCCCAGATCGTTCTGCACCTCACGGGCACACATCCTACACCCAGTCACAGCCCGTCCTTACTGCAGTTACTGTTACAACTTGCACTAGAAAAGCCATTTTTGTTGCCAGAGACCTTTCCCACAAAACCGA